TTTATTATTAATAATGGAGGTAATTCCCTTTTGATCAACATTAATTAGAGGCATAATTTTATGCAGAAAGGGAGTTCCTAATATAATTCTATGAGTTAAGTTTTTCACAAGAATAAAGTGAGTGGGTAAACATATATCTTTGTTACAAACATAAGCATTAGACAGTTTATAATTAACCGTGAGTTTATCTCCTCCAGCTTGTGTAAGAGATTGAGTAGTTTTATCAAAATACTTAGTGGGAATAATTCCCTCTTGAAGGCAGTTTAAATCAGTGCCACTATCAATAAGGGCAACTTCATTTTCTAATATGAAATTTCTATTAATCACTAAAGTTATTCTAACAAACCATTTTTGGGAGGTCACTCTATCAATGAGGGAAAGGAAATCATCACTAGGTGAAGGATTACTAGTTGAAGCTATTTCTTCAACCCTTGAACTATTGGACTCTAAAAAAGTGAGCCTTTGAGATAAACCATAGTTTTCTTTTTTAATTTGAGCTATCTCATTTTTTAAGAGATTTATTTCTCTATTTAAATCCATAATAGAAACAGGAGTTTCACGAATGTTAGACTGTCTAAATCTAGACAAAACCTCACTTAATTGGTAAGGTGCTTCTGTAATAATAGGAGATTCTCTTTTAGAGTTTTCTTGGATTAGAACCTCAAGCATTTTTCTTTTAAGGTTTTTATCAGAAATGGACTCTATAGCCTTTATAGCTCCATCCTGTTCTGAGGTTAAAACATTTAACCCATTCATATCTACTATTGATTTCCAGTAATCTAATTGATTACATTGACAATTATTATTGTTAGAAGATTCAGATGAGTAATCAGAAGAAGATTCATAAATCATATTAATATCTTCTTCAGAAGAGTATTCTTCAGAATCAGATTTGAGAAGTAAAACTTTCTCTAATTGAGAACGTAATTGTTCATCTTCTATCTCATTAAGAGCTTTTTTAGTCCAACATTGGTTGGCATAATGGCCAGGTTTGCCACATTTATGACATGTTATGTCAAGCCTTTTGGCTTTTCTTTTACCTTTAGGGTCAAAAGATTTTTCTTTAGGTCTACTCTTATTGTAGTGGCCCCTTTTCTTATTCTTATAAGAATTTTTATAAGAATTTTTTGGCTTATCCCTATAAGGTTTATTGCGGAAAATTTTTTCTTTTTTCTTTTTATTATCTGGAGATTTTCCAAGATCAAAAGCAAATTGTTCACAAAATTCACCAATTTGGTGTTTTTCAGAAAGCTTTTGCTTTTTGAGTTGATTTCTAAGCTTTATGTCATTACATAAAGTTAATCCTTCATTAACACAAGTGCTAATTATATGACCATAAGTAAGATCTGAAAAATTTATATTTATCCCATCATTTTTCTGTCTTAAGGATTGTCTAACTTTTTCTGAAAAGAAATGAGGTAATCCATCAATAAATTTTGCTTTCCAATGCAAAGAATTGGGATTGTTTAATTGATAAACTCTTGAAAGAAAAGTATCCTTATACCATCTAAAGTGGGTGAGAGAAGGACACCTAAGGTTTTGGAGAAGTGTCTGGATTTTTTCTCCAATGGGGACATTGGTTCCTACAAAATGTTGTAAGATGGAGAGACACAGTGTATACACTGCATCTTCTTCTCCTGTGGTGGTTGTAGCCACAATAGTGCTCGTACTAGTTCTTGGTTCGCTCTTAACGATTTTTTTATGATTAAGAATCTCTAATTTTTGAGATTCAGTGAGATAATGATCCCACCAGCCTCTAAGTTGGCCAACAAATCCTGTTGTTATAAAGGATGCTATTGAAGCATCAGAATTTCCATGTTGCTTGCAAACAGTAGAGTACATGATCATCCTATGGATAGTATCTATAATTTGTTTGTCATTAAGACCATCAACATTCCATTCATAAATGGCTTTTCCTGAATAAGAATTCTGGAAAGGTTCTGATTCCTCAAAAAGCAAATCTTGCGGTGAGGGACGCTTGTAATAATACTTTTCTATAGGCCTTGGGGAATAAACAGGATTTATACTATTAGTATTATTAATACTATTAGTATTAATATCAAGGTTACTAATGTCTAAATTAGCAAACATATCAGCAAGCTGGTCAATATGGTTGTCATTATTATCCTCAGAATAATCTTCATGGGACATGACCGTGATATTAAGTCCTTTTAGTTTTTGTTCTAAAATACGAACAAATTCTTCTCCGTTAGTTTCCATTTTAAATCCTTCTATGGAAACAGGAGGTTGTACTATAGGAACATCCGAAATAGTGGATGTGGATATTTGGTCTTTAGGTTTACTTATGTGGTCAATAATGATATCTTGACGCTCTATTTGTTTTTCTAAAAGATCTTTTATGGATAAGAGATCTTTTTCCATGGAGATAAATTGTTCTCCTAAGCAAACAAGGTAAGCATTGGTATAATTTTGAGACCTGATAACTGAATTTAATTCCTTAAGAGTAACTTGATTTTGTTCAACTCTTTGTAACTGAAGGCTAAGGTAAGGGGTAGCTTCAGTATTTTGACTCAAACTTATTGTTTGTTCAGGGGGAAAAGGAGATTCCATTATTTCTCCTCTAATGTTTTCCCAAGGTCTTTGTAACACAAGAATTTCTTCTTGCTTTTTATTTATAAAGTAATTAACAAACCATTTAACAAAAGGAACGAAATCTTGCTCAAGGTTCATTTGAGTGTAATACTCATCTTTAAATTGGGCTAATTCAGGTTTTGAAAATTTTTTAAAAAACCAATTTCTAAATTGAGAGTATCTCTCATGTTGAAACTCATCATTGATGAGTTGTCTCATCTTACTACCAGGGGAGTAATCTATCATTATAATTGGAAATCCATATCTGACTGAGTAGGTGATTCTACTCTTGGAGTATGAGGTCTTTGATAAATTCCATGGGGAACTCTATTTTCGCTTAGTCTTATATTCTCAACGACCTCTATTTCTTCTCTTATTTGAGAAGTAGAAGGTCTAGGTAATTGGCTAGGAGCTGTGTAAAATTCACTAACTGAGTGCCTAGCAGATAGGGACCTGGGTATTCTAGTTATTCTTTTTGAAGTGAAATTTATTTCTAAATCTCCTTCAGTAGTCTGAATAATTTGGTATATATCCCTATTAAGGATAGGTTCAGGATCTATTTCCTGGGGGAGAGACCATGTCTCTGGGAAGTTTATTTCATCCCACTTTATTAACCTATTGGTTGCAACATTAGATGTTAATAAATTGGTTTGAACCAAAGTAGTGGTTCCAGGAAATGATAAATGCTTTGCTTTAGGATTAAGCGTAGTAAGAACCTTATAGTAGATTCTATAGCATATTGCTAAAAAAGTTATAAACTTATAGCGTAGTAAGAACCCAATTATAAACTTATTATTATTTTAAATAAAAATATAAAATTAATATCTCATTAACAATCATAATTTTTTCAAAAAAAAAAATTATTCTCCATCAATAATACTATTAGACTAGTGAATTTCCATAATTCTAAGATTAAATATTATTTTCTATTTTCTGTTGTCTCATTTCCAACGTATGTATATTATAGGAATATCGTATCTTGTTGAATTTTATACTATTATCAAGTATTCTATTATGTTGATAAATTTTATTAGATATTATATGATGTGTTAATGTGGGTGGGTGTCACGTTCAAGTAGGGGCAAGTTAAAATCTCCAAAAGAAATCATTAAAAAAATATTTTTTATTTAAAACACAACCCACGGACCCAACTCAACCCAACACATAAATAAACGAGTCGGTTCAAATTAATTTTAATAATGAAATCGCAAGTTGCACAAAAAAAAACTCAACTCATTAAAGTTCGAATAGATTGGATAACGAATTTGGTCAAAATTAATTCAACTCAACTCATGTAGTCCCCTGTACAACACTATAGTGCATATAGCACTCTTTCCCATGATTAAAATAGTAACCAAATCATTACACAATTCTAGTTTTGGTTTTATGAATGAGAAAAAAGAATATGCATTAAAAGTGTAAAATATTTTTACACTTTAATCAATTAGGGAGTCAAATCACTCTTTCTTTCCCATGATTAAAATAGTAACCTTTAACAAAACCATTACACAATTTTAGTTTTGGTTTTATGAATGAGAAAAAAGAATATACACTAAAAGTATTATACGATATCAGTCAATCAATCAGAGACGTATATCCGTCAAATCATTCGTTTAATTTTAAAATATTTATATGATATGACAAAATATTATGATTTTATTGAATGATGATTTAAAATTAATTTACATTAGCATTATCTTTAATCTTTTTATGAATACTCTAATTTTTTATAAATATTAAATTTGTGTTACTCAAATCTGGCGAACTAAAATTCAGTTCAACTAAAATAGTAAAATAAAATATATATGCATATTGCATAAAGAGTGCAAATAGTGCAAATATTGAAGGCTTATAATCTTTGACGATAATATTAAAAACACTTCTCTTTTAAAACAAGAATTGTAAACAACAAAAGTTATGGAAAAGAAAATTAATATATTTCAAATTCTATTGACTAAACAAAATTTGTTTTGTGGGATATAAGAGAAGAGACTAACATAGTTAACCCTTGGTTGAGAAAAAAACAGTAAATCCATTCAAAAAAAAAAAATTTAAATCTTGAAAAACCATCATAGTAGTAATACAGAAAGTAGGACAAGTTTATTACCTTTTTTTAATCCTAGAAAGCAGAACAATTTTGAAAACACTAATCAAACTGGGACTACTTTTCTTATCTTGACCTCCATTAAAATCAATACAATCCTGGTTTGAAATTATATCTTTCCAAATAAATAGGTAAACAATATGGCACATAATTTACTTGCATACACTCTTGTACAATGTCACAAGAAAACAATCTTGTTCTATAAAAAATAATTTTTTTTAACAGTTCTAATTCAATAAATATCTTGTGTGGTATAATTATTTCCCTAAAAATAGCTTCTATATTTCGTTAAAATAAATATCTACTATATCTTCCCAAAAATTGATGTACTTCCAATAACCTCGCATGCTTTCTGCTCACACTCGAGTTTCCCCCACCTTGCATCAACTCGTTCACATGGGAATACTGGTTTGCCGATACTGTCAGGAAAAAAATTCAGTGTCATAGGAACAGTATTGTGAAACAAAGAACATATGTAGGACTAACACTTCAGAAGATGAAAGGCGTGTTTGGTGTTTGACACTAATAGGCATCGACGAATGTGGTGAAGTAGAGGCACGTGTTTTATATATTATATACACTCCCTCGTGTAAGAGTCATTTTGTGTTTAATGTATGATTGTGTAGGAAACACACAAGCCTATTTTACAATAAGTGAAAAGTCATCATTTACAACAATGAGATTGCAAGGATCAGAGTTCAGATTGATCCGGACCACGTTGTCAAAGAAGATAATCTCCCAAAAGCTTTGACAAAGTGACTTTTCCTTCTACCAACAAGATTTTAGTCAAAATACAGATGTTTGGTTTCTCTGAAAATTTGGTTTCTCTGAAAATTTGGTTATGCCCCCAAATCTCAGTTTTACTAGAAGTTATCAAAATTATCTAGAAGTGGTCAAAATTAACACAAGTTTTTTATCAAACTTGTGTTTGATAGTAAAATCATCAATATGCAAATCACTTAACTTTAAACACAATCGTAACCAAATCAATTTGAAAAAAAAAAAATTAATTCTATCCAAATCACATGTATTGTAAGGTGGAGAGTGGAGCCATTTGGAAAGTGGATTAGATGGATAGTGGAAACCCATGCATGATTTTATCTTTTAACTCTTCTATAAAGTGCAACAGAAAATGGAAATTAAAGTTTAACTAAACCTATCATTTTTAATTCGTAAATATTTAAAACGGGTGGGGGCATTTTTCTTAGGCATAAACATAACAAGGACATGTTAACCAGCAGCAGACTGTTGTCACTAGGAAACTTTTCATGGAATAAAAATTGGAACATTTGTCAAAGATTTCACCTTTTGAGAAAGATATTAGTCTATATTAGAGAAAATCATACCATGAGTTAACAGGGCTTGCCCATTATCATACTAAATGTGGCCGACAAAATCCAAAGAACAAAAAAGGTTTGAGATATACCTCAAAAGATAACAGCAATTATACTTACCTTCTATTGACAACATTATGCACATGACATAGCCACTGAGAAAATTCAGCATGTGACCCCGATTGTACAGGATTTGATCTGCCAAACATATCAATGAGCAATCAAGTAAGAGCTTGTCTATATTAGAAATTTTAGATGACAAACATAGCGGTGAAACAAGCAAACCCTGTCAAGTGAAAATAGATTTGGTTATTTCTTATTATTGTAACAATGTAGTGCAACATGTGAAAATTGCAGCATGTGTCACTGAATCATGCTACTATATCAAAGATCCCTAAGAGCGGAGTGACAATTAAGGTCACAATCTACTAAGAAAATAGGTTGAAGTTAAAACAACTCAAACAATACTACTGAAACATAGTAGTTCCCGTCCCGATAAACCAGCTCAGTTGGTAGTTGTGGAAGGACATCAGATGCAAGGGCACAGGTCCGAACCTGCAACATCCCACTTATTCATCTTTAGGAGGTGAAAATTCCAGCCACTAGACTATTAAAACAAAAAAAATAGAAACATAGTAGTTTCCTTAATTTTTGTGAATAGGTCAATATGTGAAAATTTGGAGAAAGCGTCAGATGAACAGAGAAAGGTTGGCCAATTCAGTTGTAAATAAGGAGGCAAGGATTTGCGGATGCTAATTGGAAATGCTCTCTACATCTACCACACTTGTATTGTTCCAAATATATCTTGTTTGTCTACAAAAATTTACGATACTGAATAGTACTTTTGGAAAACTATAGGAAACCAATGTGTAAATAGATCAATTTTATAGGGAATATTTTATTCTTTTGAAACACAGACAGGAAATCCATATTCGTTATTGTGAAGCAAACTGATATCTAAAAGATAAATCAGAATCACACATGTGTTAACACCACGAGTAACTGCTGTAAATTAGTCAAATGTCAGGAATATTCAATAATATCCATCACTAGTTTACAAAGTTGATCCAATTGATCATAAGCAATGATACAAAACTCCTGTCATGACAATGTCCAGGGAAGGGTCGGACCCACTGTGGGTCTATTGTATGCAACCTTATCTTCCATTTGCAAGAGATTGATTTTACAATTTAAATCTGTGATCTTTCTAGTCACATAGAAGCAACTTCAATCATTGTTGTATTTTAAACAAGAAATGGCATGCAAAGACATCACTGAATTCTAACTATGTCGGCATGTTAGATCCTACAATTATAATATACCAAAACTTTAAATTAAAAAACAGAAAAAGAATACAAATCATGGGGGACATATACCAAACCAGTGACAAAAAGGAAGAATAATTTTCAAATTATAATTAGAAAAACTCGTCATATTGTGGGGTTATCACCTTCACCAATAAAGCTAGGGATTAAATCCTACTCCAACCACTGCATCAAGGATATCATCCATTTATTGTTCACTCATTAAATAAAATTTATAAAAAGAGATAGTCTGACAGTCTGAACAAAAATGGAAATTTAAATGGAAAAAAAAAAAGGAGCAAAACCAAAACAAAAAATCCTAATCAATTAAATGGTGAAAGATTAATATACCTAAGAACTTCTTTAAAGTGATCTGCACATTCACTGCAAGGGTACATTCGAGACAAGATCTGTATCTGTGGTGCAAATACAGTCTGTTACAACAAGAATTTTATTTTCCAAATGGATAACAAAATGCATATACTGCTACCATATGGAGGAAATTTCAACAAAGTAAATTATATTTTATAAACTCATTCATTGTACAAAACCGCCACATCAGACGTGTAAAACATGACTCAATGTTATCTGCATTTTGTACCATTTATATTATTGCTTACAGCTCTTTATATTTTGACTAAATGAACCAAAAGTTTAATTCAAGGACAGGTAAAACAAGAGAGAGAAAACTTACTTTAAGTATAATATTAAATTTTGGCAATATGATAAACAGAGCCGTCTCAAAATTTTGAGAGGCTGTGTAAGAAGCTGAAGTTACCTTCAGCTGAGTGGTGAAATTTTTTAAGAGGTCCTATTTAACTATAAAATAATCGTTGAATATGTGTATGGAGACCCTTTTTGCCATAGTTAATCAACAAAAAATGTAAGGCCATGTGCTATAGGCTGCCTTACACATCCCCAAAGACGACGGCCTTGATGATAAATCATATACCATTATCATAGTTTCGTAAGACAATACCACGGCATTAATTTAACTGAAAAGGTTCTCTCCTATAAATTATAGTACTAAATTAGACCTTGGTGTTATCGGTTCTTTGTATTATTGTTTACAGCTCTTTGTATTTGACTAAATGAAGCAAAAGTTTAATTAAAGGACAGGTAAAGTAAAATAAGAAAAAATAATTTGTAATCTTGTAAACATGATAAATCATATATCAGTATCATAGTTCCGTAAGACGATAACACGGCATTAGTTTAATTGAAAGGATTTTCTACTATCAATTATAATACTAAATAAAACCTTGGTGTTATCTAACTTCTTACTATATGAAATTCTATAACTTATAACAAGGAAACAGTAGGGAAAGAAAATACCAATTCTTTTACATCCTTCTTCTGTTGTCTTGTAGGATTGTCTGGATACTGAAAATAGAAACTAGGTTGTTCAGAACTGTGTATTTAAAAATGTCAAATCTTTCAATTTGTTGTTTCAGTTGTGTGATAGAACTTCAAAATCAAACCCGTTATAACTCCATAACAAGAAAAATATTAACTATATTTTCCCTTCTGAACATCGTCAGGTACAAAAATGAAAGAAAAAAAATATTATGTGCATCGTAAAACAATAAATCAAATTTGTAGATGAAATTAACATGTAAAGATTTGGGAAGGTGAAGCACAGACTCCGACACCGGACAACAGGACATGATACGGACACCGGATAACGGGACATGACACGGACACTCCGACACCAGTAATGTCAAAAACATAGGACACCGACACCGACACCGCTACATATATGATAGTATTTGAGCTTCATTTATCCATCTATTATTAAAAGAATTAAAAATATTTTGATCAAAATTAATGTTTTTAATTCTTCATTGTTAACACTCCTTTAATACACATTTAACCCTTTTAGATTTGTGAGGTTTGTCAAAAAAATGTATTAGGTGTGTTGAAGCAAGTAAAAAAAACAAAATCTTTTTGAAACACTTGTTTGAATTAGTCTGACATGTGTTGTATAAGTGTCACACGTGTGTCGAACTTCAATTCAAAGTGTAGAAGCAAAGAAAAATATCATTTTTGGAACACCTATATGACACGTGTCATGCGGGTGTCATACAAGTGTCAGACACCGCAATACGCTTGCTCATAGAGGTTCTGTGCTTCATAGGAGCCAACAACTAAGAAAAACTAGTATAATCCATTAGCTTACTTGTGGATATGAAGGAAACAAAAATTTGAAGATATTGAAAAACTTGGTAACAGGGTGGTAGAACTCCATGATAACGAGAAACAGCTCCTGATATAATATTTCTAATGTGGGGTTATATGATCAATAGCTACACAACAATCATTCAATAGTGATTAACCACATGAAAATGTATCACAAATACAAAGTTAAATTTTTTGAAATTGAAAGAACATCCCAATCCCATCTAAAGCAGCTAAGAGGTAATAACATCATAGAGGAGGGGAGAAAATGGTCACTGCTACTAATATGTCTGTCCACCTACTTCTCAGATAAAGTAATGGCAAAACAAGGTGATTGAAAAGAATGGAGGAATCAATAGAATCACTATCAGGACAGTTGCAATGACAAAGTCACAAAACCTGAGCAGCAAGAGTGTGAAGAAAAGTCCATGTAGCCCTTCCAAGGTCTTCTTTAGTCACAGGGGTAGAGGACTTGCCCTACAAAAATAAAATGATGAAAAATAAACTAATCAAAATAAAATTCAACTGTATAAATATATACTGCACATCTGAATCATTGATTAATAAATTACTTGACTCTAAATATTCTCTAAAAGAAGAAGAAATAATCACTATGTTGACATATATTACAATTCCAATAGTAAATATAGTAAAATGCATAAATTCATTGAAACACTTATACAATTTGTAACTGTAAGATATGTGCTACTGCAGTATCATTTCCTCCACTATAACTGTAGACATACCCTTCAATACGTAAAACTTCCATAAAACTGCCAAAGTTTGATAATCAATAAGTACAAAGATCTACTTCACCTCCAACCCTCCCAATAAAAGTGAAAAATTATTATTCACTAGCAATAGACAGTTTTTAGGGTTATATATTCAGGAAAGCATTGCAAGAACTGCATCTTAGCAAAATAAACTAGTGAATATTCCCCCAAAAGCCATGTTCATTGTGTATGCTACGATTCGAAATGTTGCCCTGCCTGATTACTGAAAAGGATAGAATGAGATCGAACACAATCAATATATTAACTCCTACATGCTAAATTCCAATCCTCATTCTTGATCTACTTTTTTTCAATCTTCAATTTGACTCCCTCCTAAATGAAGGCTTTTATTTTATTTTCTTAAATATTATTTATTCTTCTTGAATACTATAGCTTAAATTAAGTCAATCCTAGAATTGTTTGTTATTAATTTCAACACTTCATATAACCATATAAATCTAAATATGTCCATCTCTTACTTAATTTCATTTAAATTCATGATTAATGAAAGTCAGTAAATGAAAACGAATTGCAACAACTGAAGTATCTACAAACCAAACTTAATACTTCATTAACCATGTGTAAGAACTACATCATCCAATTAAATTGATGTCGAATTTAGGCATCCCAAGTTGATGTTCAAATAACATATTTGTTTTTAAAATACTATTTAATCCATGGGATACTAGCTAGTGATGATAATAACAGCATGTTATATTTCATAAGCCCAAAGAAATGAATGACAAAACCACAACTACTGCCACTAGATTCATGATAAAAGTGTTAAAAAACTATGATTCCAAGCCATTGATGATGAATACCTTGACAACAGGATCATGTTGTTGTACAGAAGATGTAGTTTTCACAAATGGGACTTTGATGGAGGCATTGACAGAGCCTCTACCAGAGGTTCCTGATGACTGGATATGATCTCCTATAAAATTAGATACATGATGTTGAACAAAATTTGCAACTTTCTCAAAGTTATGAAATAAGCTCTGTACTGGATTCTCAGACATGTTAGTCACCTGAGATTCAAGTTGGGGATAAATATACCACAGTCAGCAAAGCTCATCAACAATCAAATCAAAAAAAGAAATCCAAATAAAGTATATATTTATACACAAGCAAATAACTACAATTTGAATGCACCCAATAACTTCAATTGTATACAGCTCTAGGTTTCCAAGAATAGCTTGCTCAACTGAATCAAGAAAAGAGAAACAAAGGAATCTGAAAATCGGCATGACAAACAAAAATGAACTTATCACATAACAGAAGCCAGACTTGCATAACAGAAACCATTAATTAAAATTTTACAACCCTAAATTGCTATAGCACCTACCACTATAGCATCTAGTCGACAAGAAATTGCATTGTATCACAAAACAATAGCAAATTGTTCGAATCCACTGCTTATAGTACCACTATGACTGACATTTTGACAACAATGATAGTTATGATAAAAGCTCAGTTACAAAATTGCATCCTCGCACGCGCTACAGGAATGGCGAAGGAAAAGATGAAAGATTACCGAAAGTAAACAAAGAAAAAGGTGGGCGAGTATCTTACTGTTACTGTTGGCTTTCGTTCCGACGGTTATAAATTTCGGGTGCGTGCCGTTTTCTGGAAGTTGAGTTTAGTGCAACTCTAACTCATCTCTGATACGTAGGCAAAGCGGGATTGTTCGAATACCAGGAATATCTTTTCTTGAGTGGTGGTGGGCTTCTACTACAGGATTTTTGAGATGGATGTAATTTAATTAAATTTAATATCTGATTTAATTAATAATTTTTTAAGTTGGGTGTTGAATTCATATTTCTAAGATTAAATCCGAGTCAAATTAATTATCGTCATTAGATTGGATTGATTTGTGTTGGATTTTAAAGTTATCCATTAAATATAATTTTTAAATTTTAAATAAAATATTAATTTAATTAACACATTTATTTTATAAAAATATTTAAAAATCATAAAAGTTTAATATTTAATTTAAATAAAATTTATCGTTTAATATTTTAAAAATTCTTTTATGATTCAGATCAAGTAAAAATATATATAAATAGTTTTAAAAAATATATAAATAGTGTAAAGTATGACTTAAAAGGTAATATATATCTCTTTTTAAATAAAAATATTTGATCTCTCAAATTTAATTTAAACTAAAATTTTTGCAATTAATAAAAATATAATTATATTTAAAAATATATGCATGGTAAGAATTATGTTAGATAACTTATGAATAAAATAAAATAAAAATGTCAGTGATATGTCAATGGGTTTGGTTCGGAGTTCGTGGATTTAAAACTGCTACCCGAACCAAATACTAATGGATTTGAATGGGTTGGTTCGGATTGAATCAGTATATGATTGGGTTGAATAAAAATAAAGGTTGAATTAGGTTGAATGAGTGGATTCTTGGGTTGACTCGTACTCATGAACACCCCTACTTCTTTCTTGATTGAGTTTGCAAATAGAATTTCAACAATAAGAATGTAATTTAGTGAAATTTTCAATTATTTAAATCATTCAATTAAAATATATTTATTTTTAAATCATTTTATTTAGATAGAGTATTAAGATAAATCATGTTAAATTTTTTTATCAATTTTAAAATTTTAGTGTCAACTTTTAAATTTTAAAAATAGAAATTAATTTGTAATTTTTAAAATATAAAGAATCAATTTATAAAATGTATCATTAAGACAATCCAGTTATCCGACATCAGGTATAAGAGCGTGAGTTCAAATGCGCAACATTCTATTTATTCATCTTTAATAAGGTGGACTCTAGTCATTAAGGTACTTAACCAAAAAATGTATAAGAAAATTTTGATGGTCAATTTTACAAAACAATTTTTAAGAAAAAATATATTTTTAAATTATTTTAAAATAAAATTAAAAAAAAAAATAAGATAAGTTTTTTAAAATATATTTAGAAAATAAGATTAATTTATACGCACACCCAATATAAAAAAGTTTATACATTCGATATATCATAATATGGGTAGCAAAACGGACCCCGGCCCACGCACACGTCAAAAAATGATCGGTTGGTTGTGATTTTGTGCCCTTCTATCCGTTCAGTTTGTCCCGTCTTAAATCCGTCAAAAAAAAAAGAGTTGGTTGTCCCGCGAACCTAGTTATCAAACACTCAAAATATATATTTTTTGGTTAGTTGAATGTTAATAATTGAACTATAGTTTTAGAACTTTTGTTGATGGTTCAATATTAGGTGAAATTTCTTTATGTTTTTTTATATTTTTAGTTGTCAATATATGCTTTCTAATAGTTGGTTTGATGTTTTCTAATTGAAATGTTAAAAAAAATTAAAAAATTAAAAAAAAAACTTTTAATCCATTAAAAAATAAAGAAGAAAATTGTAAAAAAAAAAAAAAAAAAGGAAAGAAAGAAAAAAAAAATAGGCGGGCAAGTATGTTGCTCACCGACCCGTCACATCGCACTCATTTATTATAAATGAAAGATAAGTTTAAAGAATTAGAAGAATAAATAGTAATAAATAATAGATGGTATGTTGAGAAAAAAAGACATTAATGTTGTATTGGAATTGTAAAATGACTTATAATTTGAGAGAAACTTTTTTGACAAAGTAATTTAAGATGTAATCAAAATAAAAGTCAAACACTTATAAAAATTTAACAATTATTAATAATTGATACTATAAAATATACTTACATTATTAGTTAACAATTATGATTAACGTTGATGTGTCAGTTAACGTTGTTGAGTTGGTATTTGTATTCTTCTTTGTTATATTTTTGGAGAAAAGTGGAAGAAAATGAAATTCATAAAAGGAGCATTTCATAATTCTCCCTTATCCATCAATGGCTTCATACCTTAACAAAGGACCAAACCAACGAAGTCAGAATTCTCAATATTTCATTTCGAGTGCATCTCAATCTAAAATCGAACCAACATGTTCATGTGCAGCCAAAGCAATGATAAGAACAGTTAAGAAGAAATGAAGAAACTTTGGGAAGCTCTTTTGGGGCTACAGATACTTTGTGATACATTTATTACTTTATTTTTCTCTATTTGTTATGGTTTTGCAGAGATTAGCTGATGTATTGTGAATGTTATTGTTAACAGTGTGGAGATGCTAATTGTGGATGCAATTATTTTGAGTGGTATGGAAAAAAAAAATACATTGATTAAGTAAATCCAAAAATACAGCAATTAGTATTTTCTAAATGTTCAAAATGTGAGGAAAAGGATGTAGAAATCAACATACTTAGAAGGGGCATTAAAAAGATCCATGAAGATGACAAATACACTAAGGAGATGATGAAGAATATGTTAAAGATGTTGAAGGTGTCAATCTTTGTCATAATCTTTTTTGTTTTGATTTTTGTAGTGTTGATGTGTATTTTGGTCAAGAAGTGGTGATTATGGTTAATGTTGATGTTAGTGTAGTAAAAATTTTGGTCTTGTGTTGTAAAACTTGTTGAGTATGGTTAATGTTGCACTTCTTTCTAATTTGTATTGCACTTCAGTCAATTTTTATATTGTAGTAAGGATCTAATTTTTGTTGCACTATTGTCAAATTTTATTTTGCAGTAGGGGCCTAATTTGTATACGAATAAAAACTTATAGGACATATTTGTTACAAATTAAAAACATAAGTGGCATGTTTTGTTACAATTTAAAAGCATAAAGGACATGTTTTATTACAATTTAAAAACATAAAAAGACCTATTTTGGTACATTGATAATGCCATAAATTAACCAAAACATTACAGATTGATAACATTAACCAAAGCCCTGTTATAGTAAATGGCACATAAATATCAACAACATCAAAGACCTGTTTGATATCAACAACATTACATATTGTTATAGTAAATGACCCATAAAGGACCTAACATTTCAATCTCCCAAAATATATCGATAAGATCATGAAGTAGCACCAAAACATTGATACGACCATAAATGCATAAAGTATTTCCAAAACAGATGTAGACAAAAATCCTAATTCATCAACATTAATTCAACATCCAAAATACATAAAGATCCTAATTCACCAACAATACATATTGATCAACATCCTATTTGTTTTTAATCCTTATGGGTAGCATTGGCTTCTGGCTTGTTTGTGGCTGAAATGTTGTAGTGGGTCCATAATTTTCCCTTCTAATAGCAAGTAATTGGGTTATTATGATGGACAACGACTTTTTGTGTTTGGACTCTTTGGGTTGGTTGTGTTTGGGCTTGTGTTGTTTGGGATTGAATTGTTTGTGATTGTCTTATTTGGACTCTTTGGGTTGGTTATGGTTAGGCTTCTACAGTTTAGTTTTGGGTTGTTTGGGATTAGACTGTTGTGGTTGTTTGGGCTTGGACTGTTTGGGTTGTTTGGGCTTATCTTGGTACATTTGGGCATGAGGATTTGTGCACAGATATAGCACACACTGAGCATTTATTTGGAAACCCTTTTCTAGTAACAATTGTTGTATCCCTTCTCTTTTCATCAATATCTTTGTTTCTTCTTCTTTTGGCCTCCTTAGTGTTCTTCTTGATTGTGGTGGAAGTATGTCAGGATATGGTATCTCTTCCCATAAGTTTTTACCATTGGTTGGATATATGAATGGTCTATAGAAATCTTGGTAAGTATCATTTATATAAAATGGGGAATCTTTAACAAAGTATTTGTAGGCCTCCTCATTAACTATCCTCATCTCCTTCGTTTCCCTTTCCCATGCTTGAGGATATGTTGTTTTGTCTTCCCTCCACATAATTTCCTTTAACTGCTTGTCGGGAAACCTCTTTCTGAAGTTGTTATACAAGTGTTTACACAAAATATTTGGTCAACTCCATGTAACAACTCTTTTATTGCAAGTAACATGCCCTAAGCATATAAAACAGACACAACATTGTCATCTGAATAATCACTACTCATTTGCATGACAAATGATGGGTATTTGATCTTTGTATCCCCATCTGAATAATCATTACTCATACCATCATGACTTTCTAATTCTTCAGTTACATAACCATAATCTAAC